GAGGAGAAGGAGGAGGAGGAGAAAAATGACGCCCGGCGGCGCTGCGGATCCGAACGATGACCCAACTCGGCACATAATATCTGCGAAAAATGTAGGCAGAAGCCGTCGCAGGTCCGCGCGCATTTTGTGTGTGGGCGCCGCGTCCTTACCTCTTCGGCCCATCCTTGGCCACTTTGGTTGGCCGCACCCCGCTCGAAAAGCTTCGAAGCGGCCTTCCAAGGTCCTTGCATCCTTATCGTGCGTCCTCATGATGCGGGTCGACTGTACCTGCCCTTCGGCCCCAGTTCATGTTTTTTTTTTCTGTGCAGGAGGCGCATCACCTAAGAAACCGGCCTGGTCGCAGGCGCCTCACGGAGGGTTAATGTTCCCCGATTTTCCTATGGACCCACGGAACTCTAGGGGCATGTCAGTATCCTTCAGATATCGACGAAAAATGTTCAGCCACGCGCAGAGGGGGGTAGAGGGAGGGGGGAAGGCTTCTTAGAAACACCCAGCTTTTCAGAAGGCGCGGGCCTTGTCTATGGCTGTAAGAGCCAGCACCTTCTAAGGAGCAGCCTCCTTCTAAGAAGCCTTCCCCTCTACCCCTACCCCCCTCCGCGCGCCGCCAAAACGTGCCCCCCGCGATTTCCTATGGCTAGACTCCTCTTCGCACTTGCCCGCTTTGTACACAGGGGTCTACATACTATGATATGAGACCTCCCTGCCCGCTCTCCTCGGCCGATCCCTCCTCCCGTCTCTTGCCCCTCCTCTTGCTGCCGCCGTGGGCACCTGCGGACGCGTCGAGCCTCCTCCTCCTCCCCCTCCTCCTCCTCCTCCTCCTCCTCTCCTCCTCCCTCCTCCTCCTCCTCCTCCTCCTCCTCCTCCCCCTCCCTTCCCCTTCCCCCTCCCCCTCCCCCTCCCTTTCCTCCTCCCCCTCCTCCTCCCTCCTCCTCCTCCTCCTCCCTCCTCCTCCTCCTTCTCCTCCCCCTTCCTCCTCCTTCCTCACCTCTCCTCTCCTCCTCCTCTCCTCCTCCTCCTCCCCTCCCTCCTCCTCCTCCCTCCTCCTCCTCCTCCTCCTCCTCTCCTCCTCCCCTCCTCCTCCTCTCTCCTCCTCCTCCCCCCCTCCCCCGCCTCGTGTTGGACCCAACTCGCCGCAGGCCCGAGCGACTGCCTGCTGCGTGCCCCCCCTGGCTGCAGGCGCCCCGCGCCTGCTTCGTCCTCTCCCGCCCCCGCCTCGGCTCTTTCTCTCTCCAGCGGAGGGCTCCTCCTCCTCGTCGTCGTCGTCGTCGTGCTGCACAGCTCAAGCTCCGGCGCCAGCTGCGATTCACCTCGTCGCCCTGCACATCACCGCCCTGCTCCAGCTCAAGATTGCCCCTGCAGAAGGGAGGAGGAGGAGGAGGAGGAGGAGGAGAAGGAGGAAGAGGAGGACGAGGGCGAGGACGAGGACGAGGAGGGGGACGAGGACGCTGGACGCTGCTCATTTCTGCTGCTGAACGCTGCTGCTCCTTCTGCATCTCCTCGTGCTCCTCGTGTCCTGGTGCTGTTCACTGGCGCCGCAGCTGCTGCTTCTCCTCCCCCATCCTTTCCTCCTGCTCCTCGTCCTTCCTCCTGCGGCTGCTCCTGCTCCACCGGTTATGATTTCATAGTGACGCTGCCCTTTTTGCCTCCCCAGCTCCCTCGCCGCCGTCGTCGTCGTCGTCGCCTCCTCATCATATGCGTCCTCCTCCATTCCGCCATTCCGCCGACTCCCTGGTGAGGATAATGTGGACGACTTCCAATGTAGTATGTGTTATTTTCCGCTTCCTGCCGTGCTGCGTACGTGGAGCTGCGGATTTGTCCTCGTCTTCCTCCACGTCTGTGGAGGGGCTGCTCAGGGGTCTCTTGGATGTCCCGGGAGCGGCTTCGTTGGAGCCTTGTCAGGGCTCCTTGGGGAGATTAGATCTTGGGGCCATCTTGCGTCTTGGGCCCGGCTTGCCGACAGAGAGCCGACCTAGCCCGAAGATTACCCGCACGGGGAAGGGAGGGAGCGCACTCTGACCCGGGATCTTCCCCGGGACCCCAGGACCCGCTGATTCATGCAGATTCGCCCCCCTTCTCCCACTCCCACCTCCTTTTTCGCCTTCCCCTCGCGTCCTCCCTTCCAACAAGTCACAAGATTGTGGCAAGAGGGCATCCAGATCGTCCATGTTTTCAGCTCCCGCGCCAATGCAGTCATCCAAATGATTGACGTTTTGAGGATGTCGAGTTGTTCGGTCCCTGAGAGAATGTACTCGCTCTTCCCTCCTCATCCTTCCTTCCTATCTTCCCTCCGCAGTCTCATTGCTCCCACACCCTGCTTATTTTCCTCATACCTCCTCCTCCTCCTCCTGTATATTCCTCGTCCTCGCCGCCTTCCACAATGAACAACTGTGTAGGCCCTGAGGGATTTGTGGCTGTTTGGCGAGTTCTGGGATCTCCAGCTGTTCGACGGAGGTAGCTCTACGGCGTCCCCGAGACGGCCATAAAGTATTCGCAAATAGTTTCATCTGATCCCAACGCGCCATGCACCCCCTCCATACACGCGGTTCGGAACTACCGTGGCACGCTTCTTCTTTTGCGCTGTGCCTTGGCGCCCAACCTAGCTATAATTATCGCGCGCAGCGCGCGAGATGGTTTTGGTGAGCGCATCACTTCTAGGACGTTGGGTGGTGTGTAGGTGGCACTCTGGAAGTCGGGATGCTCAAGACGCGACGCAAGATAAGATTGCAGTGGGTCGGAGTGTCAGGCCAGAGCGATGCTGTTGTCGTCGTCGTTATCGTCCTGATACGCCTGAGTAGACTCGTGATCCTTCTCCTGGTGTTTCCTCTCCTCTTCCCCTGCGCATCCTGCTGTTCCTGTGATCGGTCTCTCCTGCTTCCGATCTTCCTGCTCCCCTGAATGCAGCTCATCCTCCTGTTCCTGCTATCCTCCCCCAGCTTCACCTGCTGCTGCTCCCTCTCTTGCTCTAGCAGGAGGAGGGAGGAAGAGGGACAGAGGGAGGGGGATGAGGAGGGATAGGGGGGAGGCGGGCGCGGAGGCGGACGCGAAGAGGGACGAGGAAACAGGTGCGACGTTGGAGGAGAATGGGGAGGAGTAGAAGGAGGGAGGATGATGTGGACTGGGAGGGGGGAGCGGGGTCGGGAGTCAGTCGAGGACGATGGAAGCAAGTAACGACGAGGAGGGGGTATAGGGGAGGATGAGGAGGCGGAGAAAGAAGCGGAGAGGGGGTGAGGACGAGGATGATTAGGCAGAGTATGATGATGATGGGGAAGAGGGGGAGAGGAGGAGAAGGAAGAGCGGGAGGAGGTGAATGGCAGCGCGGAAAGAGGACACTTATGACCATGGGATGTATTTTCCATGGTGTGACAGTCAGGTGCGATGAGGGGATTGGTCTCGGGTGGGTCTCGTTATGGCGATATGAAGGAAAAGGAGGAGCGGAGGAGGACCCTGTCGATGCGAAGGAAGTGGATACGGACAGCATTCAAAGTAGCAAGCCTGTCATTGGTTCCGCATCGCAAGTGTAGATTACAGTAGCATTCGTACGTGCCCCCTGTAACAACAGTTGCACTGATACTCGCGGCATTGCTGTGGTTTGCACTCGTGCAACCAATAGCCGTACAACTGATAGAACGAGTACGATCAGCGGTATCGGTGTGGTGGCCATTATTCGGGGAAGAGAGAGCAGGATCAACATCACGTCCATGAATTAGATCAGGAAGTTGTGAATGGGGGAGAGGGGAGGATATCGATGATCATGAGGAGAGCATGGTGACCATGAGGGACGGGATAAGCAGTCCGAGCATGCGTACCGGCATGCGCAGCATGAGCGATGAAAACCAGATGGGCATCACCAAGAGTAGTGGCAGGATGGGCATGAGCAGGATCAGCATCAGCAGTATTCGCAGCAGGGGCATCATAAGCAGACGCATATCGAGGATCAGGATGAGGAGGAACGGGGACAGACAGGAGCTGGGGCATGAACAAGCGAAGGATGACTGCGATGAAGTTGACCATACTAATGCGATGACGACGGTGATGATACGGAGGAGACAAAGACTCTGGAGAGGGCGGAGGCGGGGGTGGGTAAGTTTTTTAGGGGGATCGGAGAGGAGGAATAGACGGTGGAGACCGCGGGGACATGCGAGGAGGCTGAGGTGGAGGAGTCGGAAGATGTGACGGAAGAGGAGCAGAAGGAGAAGGCGGAGAATGTGTATTGCAGGAGGATGGGGAGGACGAAATTGAATATAGGCCGGCAAGAAGGGCGGGCACGAGGAGGACGATGATGACGGTGATCATGATGGTGGTGATGGTGGTGATGATGATGGTGATGATGATGGTGACGATGTTGGTGATTGTGCTGACGATGCTGATAGTGCTGATGACGCTGATGCTGATGTTGATAACGATGTTTATGACGATTATGATTCCGATTCCGATTACGATTATGATGATGTTGATGGTGATGATGATGATGATGATGACCATGATGGTCATGCTGATCATGATGATGATGATGATGGTGGTGATGACGATGGTGATCGTGATGGTGATGGTGATGGTGATGGTGATGGTGATGGTGATGGTGATGGTGATGGTGATGGTGATGGTGATAATGATGATGCTGATGGTGTTGGAGATGCTGATGATGAAGACGATGCTGGTGTTGCTGTTGATGATGCTCATGTTGGCGATGATGATGATGATGATAATGCTGATGCTGATGACGATGATGCTGATGTTGGTGGAGGTGATGACGATGATGATGATGATGATGATGATGATGATGATGATGATGATGATGATGATGATGATGATGATGATGATGATGATGACGAGGAGCAGGAGGAGGAGGAGGAGGAGGAGGAGGTGGAGGAGTTGGTGCCCCTGTTGGCAGCTGCCCCAGGATCCTAAACTACTGGACAAAATCTGGACCTGTGCGAGTGGCCGCTGGCCAAGCAGACACAAATGACCGACGATACCTCGGGGAGAACTTCAAGGCCGTGATGGTGATGGCCTCAGCCGCCAGCACACACCTCGCTGGCGCGGCGCGGAGGTGGAGGATGAGTCAGACGATATGAGCGGGCAGGAGTCTTCAGTAGCAGGAGGAGGAAGTGGAGGACACGTGGTAGGAGGAGGGCGGGGAAGAGGCGAAGGGAGGAGACGACCGTAGCCAGTTTGGCTCAAGTTGCCATGTATCAAGGCACGCTGGCCACATCAGCAGTTGCAGGGAGGGTCGGACGGTGGCTTAGCCTCGCCCTTCCTGCGTCCATTTCCATGTGTGAGCTCCTGATGGGATGCATTTCAAAGCAATAGTTTCGGCACGAGCGCGCCATCCATCCCACCAGACTCCACAGTCATGGCCTGGAATGGCAAGGGGAAGTCCGGTTGGTTCCATCGCGCTGGCACCGAATGCATCAAGTGACCTTCGTGTGGATGTCCTATAAGAGCCCGGGCCATTACAAATGGTGCTATCACTGTGAATCGTGGCTCCCTCGTGTGCGAGGAGATGATCGAGGTAACCGACATGACTACTCATGGGGAAGGAAAGATAAATCAGGAGCTGATGGAGCCTGGCACAGGCCCCTCAAGTCTCCATTTTCTCAAAAAACTCGTCCAGGGTGTTGATGGACAGTTCAAACACATCCTTCCGCCCAACTCCAAATCAGTGCTCTCAGGAGATGTCGGAGGATTCGAGGGTCATCAACGACAGTCGCAAACCAGCATCTTCACCCTTGCAGAAGGCAGAAAATAATATCCATCGTCGGCAATCTCGTATGCGCCAATTTGAAGAATGCCGGTGTCAACTTAATCCGGAGTTGGGAAAACATGAGACAGAAGGTGCTGACATGCAGAAGTGACTCCATGAAGAAGAAGAAGACAAAGCTCTTAAATTGCGGAAGAAAAGTCTCAACAACAGGTCCAGGCAGCTCGTGGAGGCCCGCAGCTCTTCTGCACCTGACCAGCTCGGCGTCAACATACAGGCCTGGGCGCAGGTGCTCGGGCAGCTCAATGATCAAGCTTTGGCTTCAACATATCAGGAGGCCGTCGGCTCACTCAAGAGAGCAAGCCAGGACATCTTCGCGGCTGCGGGCACGGCCACGGTATTCCTGCAGCCAGCAGGGACTACCCACCCCGCCACAGCTGCCCGCGAAGCCGCTGAGACCTCAGAGCCAGCTTGCCCTGACTATGATGGCGCTGAGCTCGGCGATCACGACACGGACCAGGACCAGGAAATTCAACAAGTTGCCCAGTAGTCCTTGGGATCCACTGGTGCCCAGGCCTCCGATCTCCAGACAATGTGCACAAGGTTTTATGAAACATTGGTTCAGAGAAAAATGTAGATTCCCCCGTTCACTCCGCAGGTCTGACCATGCTGCGGCCTCCTCTGCAGCGTTGGCGGCAGCAGGTGAAGCACTAGAGGCCTTTCCACCCAGGGGGGAGCTGGAACCGAGACGAGGGTAGCACGTCCAGGACTCAGGGCAAGCCGGCGCCCATGCCTCGGGGGCTGGTTTTTCAGACGTTGAATGGGTCTTCATGGCCCGCGCGCAAGGAGCCAGTCCAGGAGTCCAAAGCCGATGTAATTTTCTCACGAGAGACCAATCTTGCAGGCAGTTTGCTTCAGTCTGTTCGGGCCTTTCTACTCGAGCAAGGGTGGGGATCTTTCGTATCCCATTCAGTCAATCACGAGAATGAGAATTTAACGGGCGGCTTTTTGATCCTTGTTCAAAAATTTGGACTCCTGGGCCCATCAAGAAGATTTTAGGTCGATTCGCGGGCTTCTTCTCAGGACGACGCACCTTGGGATTATCCAGTTGTTCTCGGCTTGCCTCCGGGACTCCGTCGGTCTGAACAAATCGAATCAACGGTCTGTGACGTTATCCGGAATAAGGTTCCCAGCGGTGGGGTGCCGCGTCTGGTCGGGGATGACTCCTGCGTGATTGCGAGCTCTATGGACCAAGACAGCTTCATTAACAAGTTCATGGGCGCACTGAGTATTCCAGAAGAAACGGCTCTCATCCATGACGCCAACAAGAACGCCGTCGACTATCGCTCCCTGCGCATCGGCGTGTTGGATGCATTCTCCCCGTCGCTCCCAGTCAATTCGGAGTTGCGACAGCGCCCGCGCCTGCCCGTCGAGGTATGTTGTCTGCTCGAAGGTTGACATTGACATGCGTGTCCAGGTGGTGAAGCCAGGCCCGATTATCCCCGCGCAGGCGCCGATTGGGCTCCCTTCCTTTTCCGACGGCAGGTAGATTTGGGAGGCCCCAGGAGGATCGCTGACACGCCGCGCCCCAACGAGGAAATAATTGACATGGCAAGCCCGAGTGAGCAAGACAACTTGCAGGACATCCCGGAGACGGCATGTGGAGAATGGGTTCCAACGGCGTGGCCGGGCCCACTGACAGCGTCACACCGACGGCCTCAAGACAGGCAGGGTGGACGGCCACTTGTATTTAAAGTAGTTCCTCTTCGCGCACTGCTGGCCGCAAATCACATCGGGCGGCGCGTGTCCTGGGCGGGTCTTCACGTGGGCTCGAAAGCGCGCAATCGAGCTTTATGCCATTCTGGGAAGGAGGACCTGGGACCGCGCGGGGCCGAGTTGCGATCCCTGGGCTTGCCGAAGAAGGCGGGCCCCCGCGGGGAATGCTGGCGTGAGCAGTGCGATTTCTGGCAAATTTGCTCGGTTGGTTCGGCGGCTGCCGCGCGGGTGTCAGCGCCCGCGCAGCGAGTGCGCGCCCGTGTCAGCGCGCCCCCTATCTATCAAGAATTCGACCGCCTGGGGCTACTCAGTGGTCGCAGACGCCAGCGAAGAGAACGGCAGGGCGGGCGCGAGGAGGCAGGGGAAGACTCGGCGCATAAGGCTGGTCCGCATATTCGAGGAGCTGAATTTCGATGGGAGGGCGCGGTCGACGGAGAGAATGGCCCCTCTAGTCCTTTGCCCGAACGCGTGCGTCAGCGAGAGCGGGCCGCCGCGTCTGAACAGGCACCCCCGTCGACCGCAAAGGTTTGGGCACCATTCCTATCCCGCCCCCCTCCAGTGTCAGAGGCCCCCCAGAACATGTCAAGGATATGCATGGTTGTTTCTGTGCCCAGATGGTCTGACGGCATTGGCGCTCTTGTTCCACCGCGTAGATGTCCTCGGGCGCGCGCCCTCTCAGGTCCGGCGCGCCGTTATCCTCTTTCCCCCGAAGCCGACGACAAGGGGAAGACCGCCTTGGCGTTGCCTGGCCACGCCCGGGCCGCGCCCGAAGCTCCGCGACCGTCCGCGTCGAGATTGAGTGCGAATGCGCGCCGCGCCGTGGGCCCGCGGCGTCCGACGTCGCAATGAAGGGGCGCCAGGCGCTGTTCAGAGGAGCGCAGCATGGGCTGAATGGCGCCCCCGGGAGCACATCTACGATCTATGCGCACTGTGGGGTTTGATCAAGTTTGCCGAACGTATCTCGCATTGTATTATAGTCGATATAGCATCCCCACCTGGCTTCCCACTTTCTGTGTTTCCTGCGCACTCATCACGCATCGCTAGCCGCGCATGTTATGCTTGGGCGGGGTTGATGGCCCTGTTTGGAGCCCGCGCAAGGGGAGTCGTAGCGGCGTCTACAACGGCAGCACATGAGGTCCAATCGCACGTCATGCCTACTGCGTTGTCTTGGGAGGTCGAACCAGGTAGTTCAGGAGTGGGAGTGCGCATTGACGACCTGCAGCTCCGCCATTGGTCGGTTAGCCAGACCACGCGCGTTGACGGCATGATGATGCTAGGCTCGCCGCTGGCCGCGGTGCCCCATTCGCGCCTGGGCTGCTCGCTCTCGTCCGATAGCGCGCCCGAATCAGGCGGGAGGCGTTCCATGAATAATTGTCAGAGAATTTCCAAATTATTTCCCATCGAATTTCCCCGGGAATGTGCTGGGAATTCTCTGGACACGCTTTGGGGGTTTTCTCGCGGGGCCAGATATTTTCTGGGCGTTCTCCAGGATTACTTGCGACGCGCCTTCGCGGTCTGGGAGTTTCCGGAAATTCCCCGGACATATTTTGGAAATTCCCAAGGGGCCGGACACGTGCAGGAAATTCTCCGGGGGCCCGAAATGTTCAGGAAGTTCGAAACCTGTCTGGGAAATAATCCAGACATTGTTTGCAAGTACTTGCTGGACATATTTTGCAGACGCTTTCCGGCGGCGGGGATTTTCCCGGAGTTTCCCAGAAATGCGTCAGACATACTTTGGGGATTATCGAGGGAAGTTCCCGGAATGTGTTGTCATTCTTTTTTGGGCCTTGCTGTCTGACCCGTGGCGCGTTGGCTCTCGGCCAAGAAGATGATGGTGTAGAACAATGACCGTAGCTTCGCCCGAGAGGCGCAACTGGCCCCCGGGGCCCTTGCTGGCCCCTCGGAAAACGCCCCGCCGAACCTCGGGGTAGATTTTGTCGCCGGCAGGCCCCGCGCGCAAGCTTGACACCCAAGCAAGCGCGCAGCTCGATGGAATGAACATACTGCCAGAGCTGAGCGTTTAAAGAGGCATAGTGTTTTGTTGTTGTTGTTGTTGTTGTTGTTGTTGTTTGGGCGTTAAATATGTCTGAGCGGGTTCTTCTCAGGTCCAGGCCCTTCCCGTTCCGAGAGGGGGCCTGGCCCCGGGAACACAAGCTGCCGCGTGCGTGGGGATCTCTGTCTGATGTCCCGCTCGAGCTTGCCTGGGCGCCGGCTTCGCGGGGCCGAGAAGGCCCCGTGCGCTTGGCGGCTGGGGCAGGCGAGGCGCGCGCCGCGTAGCAGCGGTGCTCGAGGCGGCGCGCGGAGGCAGGCCCGGCCCACTACGCCGCGATTTCTTCAGGCACGCCTTCCCGAGCTTGTCGCTCTGCCAAGGGGGGGGCGCAGGTAAATTCTAGGATATCACGCGCGGAGCGGGTTGGAGGCCGCATCTCGGACGCAGTTGGCCGGGCGACCTCCCAGCGGGTCGTCCGTCGCGCGAGCGCAGGTCAAACGATGATTTGAACGTGGGCCCCGCCAGCTGCATGTCGA